AAACTTCTTGTACTACTACTGGCTTGAAAGGAGAAGTACCTACCACAACACCCCAATTCCTATATATACCATCGACTAAGACACCCGTAAACAAAATCCAATGTTTTCAGCCAGTGAATCACATTAATCATTAGACCTTCTACAATTTCCTCCTTAGATCTATACTCATTCTTGAAAATTCTATTGTTTCTTTCCTCCCAAACCGACCAAAGTATAGCTGCTCTTGTAGCTCTCCACATGACCCTTTCGTGCTTCTTTAATTGCCTGAAAAAAATCGGGTCAAAGAAGCCCACCACATTTGAAGGAGGGGTCTACCTGCAACCAAAGAGAGAAGAGAACCAATACCAAATAAAGAACACAAATGCAGGAGATTAAAAGACGTGTGGTCATCTCACCATAACCCAAGCAGAGACTACAAACATGGGGTGAAAGGCAAATGTTTGGCCTTTTCTTCTTTCCAGCAAATCCAAGGTGTTCATTTTTTTAGTACCACTTCCCAGCAGAAATCCCTAGACTTTGGAGACACAGGACTATACCAGACCTCCTTTGTTGGAAAGTTCCCGACATTGTTAGAGGACTGAAGGAGGACATCAAAGAAGGAAGAGCATGTAAAATAACCAGATGGAGAAGGTTTCCAAATTCTGCTATGCAAGCAAGATTGATCCAAGTAGACCATCCCTAAGAGAGTCATAAGTTCATCAACCAACCCCATTTCTGACTCCCTTAACCCTCTCCTTAGACCTAGATCCCATGAGTTATTTGTCAAGGCCGAAGATATAACTTTTCTTTTGTTTTCTGAAATAGAATAGGGGAACCTATCTCTAAGGGAACTCTCTACAACAGATATCTTCCCAAAACAACACTTTGTTACCTGCACAAACACCATATTTGAAATAAGGAAGCATATAAGGCAAAATACCATGAATAGCTTTCCAGGGAGAACAACGAGAAGCCCTAGGGTCAAGATCCGCATCCCAACCATTGTTTGCCAATCCATGTATACTCGCAATGACTCTATACCATAGTCTATCCTGCTCCATCAGCAGTTTCCATAGCCATTTCCCCAACAAAGCTGTATTTTTTAATCGGATATTTCCCAACCCTAAACCCCCTTCATCCCTACTCTTAGACACCACCTCCCACTTCACTAGGTGATTCTTCTTGGTATCTCACAGTTTCCAACTTCCCAAAGGAAGTCTCTCATGATCTTCTCTAGCCGGTTTGCCACTTTCACTCACACTTTCAATGTAGACAAGAAGTAAGCCATTAAGTTGGCCAATGTAGACTTGATTAAAGTTATCCTCCCCCCTCCCCCCACCAAGGAGATGTAGTTCCTCTTCCAGTTTGCAAGTATCTTAGTGAACCTTCAATCACTGGGTACCAAGGCATTTGGATTTCCTCCCAAAGGTAGTCCCAGGTATTGCATCAGTCAATCCCCTACCTCGCATCCCAATACTCTAGTAAACTATCCACCTCTTCCCTCCCTAGGTTTACTCCCGCCACACAACTCTTTTCCCAGTTAACTTTGAGATTGGAAATTTTCTCGAGATGGTGAACTAATCTTTATAGATTTAGGAGCTCTTCATCTTCCCCTTCACAAATAGTATGATGTCATCTGCAAACTATAGATGTGTCACCACCACTTCCTCCCTCCCAACTCTCCAACCTCTAATCAAATTGTTAGGATCTGTCCATGAGATCAACTCACTTAAAAATCAATTACTAAGGTGAATAGGAAGGATGACAAAGGGTTTCCCTATCTAAGGCCCCGTTTAGCAAGAAAAAAATCCCTAGCTCCTCAATTCACCAAAATGGAAAAATGACATGATGAGATGCAACCCTTCATCCATCTACACCATCTTTCTCCAAAGCCCCTTCGATTAAGAACTTCTAGAAGAAAATCCCAATCCACCATTTCATATGCTTTTTCCAAATCAGTTTACAAACCAGTCCTTTTTCCTTTGTCCTTCAAAACTCTACACATTCGTTGGCAATGAGTATTTGATCCATTATTTGTCTCCAAAAGACAAAGGTCCCTTGATTTGGGGAAATTAATGAAGGGCCGCCTTTGTTCTTAGGGCCTACACCTTAGAAACAATTTTATACATTCTACCTGCTAGACTAATCGGTCGGTAATCCTTTGGCTGAAAAGCACCTTTCTTCTTTGGGATCAAGGCAATAAAAGTCGCATTTGCTCCCGAATTAAATTTGCCTCTCAAAAAAACTCTTCAAAAACATCTAATAACCCCCCCCCCAAATTATCTCTCAACAATCTTGATAGAAGGCCATTGTAAAGCCACCAAGCCCTGGAGCTTTAGATCTATCCATTGAGAAAACTGCATTTTTTACTTCTTGGACCTCAAAAGGCTTTTCCAAAGATTCCAACATTTCTCTATTCCCCACCCTCCACCCCAAACCATCTAAAGTTTCCCTTGGTCTTCCTAGGCAGTCCCATGTCCTTTCTGTACAAACCATGTCAGATATTCATGATTATATAAGCTCCTAAGGTGGGAAATTAGAGTCATGGATCATCAATCACGGTTACACCCTGAGACCATGGCATGGACCAAGGTGAGCCTAGTAATGAATTCACCTTGGGCCCAATTGTTTTATTGGCATGGTCATTCAGCCACCTTCTCAGGGACCCATAAGCAGGGGGTGTCCCACCTAGAGCTCCTTCATCCACTAATGTGTGTATGCAAAGATGCTCAATAGAACAAGGAATGCCTGAGGTCGATCCAATCCAACTGAGGAAGATACCTAAGCCCTTGATGAGGGTAGATTCAGTTGAAAGAAAAGCGTTTTAGATCCAACCAGAGCACCAAAAGCCACTAGTATGAGCCAAGCATGCTTGTTGTCAGCAAAAGAGATGTACTGAGCTCAACTTGCTCACTATGGGATGAACTGTCGACTTTCAGATGATTAAAATAGCTTGCCTTGGGCATCTTCTTCCGACAAGAGGAGAAGCTAAAGGAAAAGTGATGGAGGTGATGGTCTGATGGCTGGGGAGGTTGCTCAAACCATCAAGGCTGCTCAGTGTGCATTAGTGGTTTTACGACTAAGGACCCTATGAGCATGGCAGGAACTTTATTAGTGCTTTATTGCATAGCAAGGCAAGCAGAGTCTGGCAGTAGGGTGTTAGCATGGAAAACCATTAAAACTAAGAGCCAGCAGGAGTGCCTCATGTTTTTCACATACCGATCATGAACTCATCCATAAAGACCATCACATGAACAGGGATGGAATATAGATAGCTTGATATTTGCATGCCAAAGATGGCTTGCAGTTGCATGACATATTGCTAGGTGATTTTTACTGACCAGACTGATAAGATGGAGGAGGGAGTACATGAAAAACCTCCTTATCCTCTCACCTGAAATGGCCATCCTCTGTAAATAGAATAAATCAAGACAACAGAATAGTAACCACACCATTACTCTTGCTGAAATGCACCCTCAGCCTCTACACTTCCAACTTAGAGCTCCAAATGCTCCACTTTCCTCTCTAGCATCACACACCTGTTGGTCTCCATAAGTCTCATGGGTTTCACCTTGCCTACTGTCTCCTGATTACTTCAAAGGGGCTTGGCTCAACAGACAGCTCATCAACAAGAGTATCAGCCCTTGCTTGAATCCTTCTTAACAATACCTTTATCCGTATTTCCTTTTTATGAACTTACATACTTATCAATAAAAAAGGAGGAAAAAAAAGAAAAAGGACTTTTATTACCCCTTTCTTGTTTTGGCTTATGAGTTAACCTTCTAAAAGGCTTTCACCAACATAGTTTTTTATCAGAAACAGATCAATACAAAACTTTATTGGATATATAAAAGGAAAATACAAGAATAATCAATTACTAACAGAAGCTAGCAAATCCCAAGAAACAAGGACCCCAATACAACTAATCCGTATTCAACTCTTCCCTGGCCAAGAAATCTGCTAGAGAATTCGCTCACCCTCAGACCCACCTGAATGAGTTGTTAAGCCTGGATGCTAAAAATCATCTCTCTATTGGCATGGAGATGCAAGGGCTAGATAACTCTCTTATCCATCCTATCACCACTTAATAATCCCTTTCAATTTCCAGATATGAGAAGTTCTAGACAACAACTAATCTAAACCCTTGAAGCATAAGTACAGCTAATAGCTTAGCCTGTGCTGGCATTCCACTGTTAATTGGGCCCAGTTAAACTAGCCAGATTCACTTCCATGGTGTCTAAAAGCTCATATTCCAAAATGATGAAGATCATCATCATCCATGCCTTATCCCAACTATATGGAGAAGGCTACACGAATCCTGCTTCGTCAATTTGTTCTATTTAAAACCATATCCACTGTTAAATTTATAATAATACATTAATATTAGAATAATAAAATAAAAAATAATACATTACCAATAAACTAGTAATAAAATATTAGTAAAGTAATAACAAAATAATAATATGTTCATAAAATATTTGTAAATTAATAATAACTACTAAGATATTAATTATTCAATACTAATAAATTAATAATAACAAAGTACTAATGAAATAATAATAAGACAATGCTAATAAATTATTAATAAACTTGTAATAAAATATTCATAATGAAGTGCTAATAAGATAATAAAACAATAATAATATACTAATACAAAATTGAAAATTTTCAGTTGATTCTGATTCCGACTCCAAATGAACCAAACAGCAATTATTGGAATCCAACTCCGATTCCCATCTGAACCAAACAGGTGTTGATAGACGATTCTGATTCCAATTCCAATTCTGATCCTGATCCTGACCACGAACCAAATGGACCCAAAGTACTGCAAGTCCAATTCCAAAACCCAAAGAACTTGACTGAATACTAACAAAGTGCCACAGTTCTTAAGTAAGATTTTCATGTACAAGTTAAACAAAGAATCACATAACTGTATATTTGCAACATTGAAGAGGAAAAACACTCATATAATTACAAAAACAAGAACAGTACAAAATGAGCAATAAAGGAAATTTATGTACCATATGCATTTCCAATCTCGTTTATACTTGAGAAGGTGCAGACTAACACCACGCAGAATACCAGAAGAAACCAATTCATGACTGGTATATAAATCTGGCCCATAAATTTCCGTGATGTATGAATTATTTTAAGGCGAGGGAAACAGCCAAGTGCTGTTGATTGTTTTATGCATGAGAATGTGGCTGTCGTCATTGCCCGACTGGCAATCAGTGCAGCAATGTTAGCTATGAAGAAGACTGGCCAGAATGCACCACCTGTAGAGAGCAAGTATACATTAATTTTTTTACCAGCATACACGCTAAGCATTTTAATTCCAGTTTTTACTTGGCATAATGACTAGGTCTACCATAACAGATTATGGAATTTAGACTACATTATACTGCAAAAGCTACCTTGAAAGGATGCCAAGTCTTACCACTAACAGGTTTAAACACTTCCAAGTTAAAAATAAAAGAGCTGCAAATAATAATAAAGATGAAAAATGCAAAACGTCATTTAAACTTACTTGGAATAGAAGAAAAGAAAACTTGATCAGCCATGGTTAGGTTTTCCATAAGGTATGCAGCTTGGCCAAGGTATCCCAACAGAAGGCAAGGCAGAACCAGAAACACAAAAGTTAGCTGCAATAGCCACAACCAAAATTATCAGAGAAGGCAGCTTAAAAATCAGTGATAGAAACAGAGAACCAGCAATCCAATTCATCACTTTCGAATAGCATATGCCAAATAAAATGTATGGAAGAGCTGAAAATTAATTAATTAGTCCATACTCCTAACCTGAATTGATCTCACAGAAAAGTAGCAAAGGTCTGCAAACATTGCCTCTGAACCTGAAACATAAATGGATCACAGTCATTCTAGAAGAAGGAGATTACGCTCTTCTAAAAATATACGAGAACTTTGGACAATAAAATCTCATCAGCAATCAAAAAAGAGAAACTCATAAAAATATAAACTAAAAGGGGGGAGGCCAAAATCCAGCCTTAGAGTATCCCATTCATAGTTAGAGCTCTGATCGTTAGATTCTCTGGCTTCTCTTTTTATTCTTCTTTAAATGCCCTATTACAAACCCTTTATCCTATCTGTATTTTGGTTACCATTTTGCTTGGCCCTACTTCCCTTATACGCATTCTTTGCAAAGCTAACAATGAGGCAGCCTACCTAGCTGCTGTGTGCTTATGTTACAGCAATTTGAAAAGATTTCCTAGCTCACTTTAGTGCTCGATGGCAGCAACCAGGATATATCCTCTAACTCTTTATTCTTTTCCTTTAGGGGGAAAAAAAAAAAGGAGAGAAGATTATGTGGAGATGGTGGAATGTGGAAAAAGTCATCTTATGGGTGATATATGGGAAAAGAGGAATGTAAGAATCTTCTCAATATGGATAAAACCAGTAGAGATGATAAATATTATTACAATTTAAGCGACCGTTTAGAAGGGCTTAAGCTTAAGATGAACGGCTTAACAGTAGTMACTAACGAATAGCAGCTGGAAAGGGTCAAGCAACATTTGGTGAGCATTGGGAGGTTTAGCCATTAAAAATTGAAGATGGTAGTAAAAGGAACAAAACTTAATGAAAAGCAGAGAAGGATAAGAGACATTTTGATGAGCATTTGTAAGGGGTTTTGGTTGTGACTTGTTCTATTTTGTAGGTCGGGCTGAGGGTTGTTTTCTTTTTCTTGGGGTGACATCTTATCACCTTTCTTGTATTCTCTTTCTTTTCTCTTAATAATATTTTCTTTTTTATTTATTTCAAAAAAAATACCTATTCACTAAATAGATTAATGCAATCGTCCAGAAATTCATGATATGATTCTCTGTGGACAAAATGCATGTAAATTCCAGAAATTCAAGAAACAAGAAGCATTTTGATGATAGAGAAAAATAAGATAGGAGAAAGGCAAGATATCAATGTAATGTTCAAGTAAGTTCTATAGCTATTTGCTGAACAAATAATTGATTCCACAAGTTGAAGAATGTTTGGCATGTTTACCTGTTGCACATAGAAGACAACCACCCAGCGACAACCAAGCCTGGGTTGAGTTCCTCTCGAAGAAATAATAGATGTGTATGGGATTAAACGCCCTTAATACACTTGTGTCATATTTTACAAGGTTGTAAACCCCAACACCTCCAAGGGAACAAAACCATATGAATAAAGCAGGACCTACTGCAAGACCCACTTTGCTAGTCCCAAACTTCTGTACACTGAACAAAACAATAAGAAATGCAACCGAGATCATCACCACTTTATCTGCAGAAAATTGGAAAAAAAAAAAAAAAAAACTAATCCATTAGTGTGGACTTGTAATTTTGTCCCTTTTGTAATAAAAAATAAACAAAAAATAGAGGAAACTTGAGATGCCCTAAGAATGTAGAAACTGCCCAAAAAAAGAGACAATTTGAAACACCAGAGGCAACTTGAAGCCCAATAAAATAGAGGTAATGTAATTACAATGAACTACAAAGACAAGTTGCACCTCTGACCCATCTTAAAGATATCTTTGGAAGCACAATTGCACAAATCGATGTTTTAAAAAGCTTAAGAGGCCTATGCCAGGAGGCTCACCTTAAGGCGAAGCTCAAGGAAAACGCCTCCAGGGTCAACCTTGAGGCTCATGTATGAAAGTTTAAAGCACATACCTCACACCCTGAGAGGCCTATACTGCATGTTTGTATATTCTATATGTATAGGTCCTTGTATTTATGCTTTAACATGTTTAAAGCCGTTTTGATATATCATTTCACATTTAGCTTCTTGATATGATGGTTTTCTCAAAAGCTCATAATATTCTCAAATCTTTTGTTTATATCATCATTTATTAAGTTTAATACTTTTCCTACATAAAAATGTACTCTTATGCATGCGTGTATAATTTTCCTTATATTATAATGTTCTTTATATAACCCATGAGGTTTAAGCCTCATGCTCTGCATTTAAACATTGCAATAAATGCATACTCTATTTCCAATTTATTATTCAACTCCAGTTGGACAAATTTAATTGATCTAATCATCTAAATACTAAAACAGTGATGTAATCACCAAAAAAATATTGGAACAATGAACATCATGTGTATACCAATCAAAAAATGAACATCACATTTGAGTTGGCATGCTTTCACCTTGCCACAAACTAGGAGTTGCAACCTAAAGCAGTAGGCCTTCTAATCCAAATGACAGAAATTCAAAATTAAACAGTCTATTCAAGCTGCTACAAACATATGATAGAAAAATAGGTTTTAAACATTCCAATCTGTAAAGATAGCCAGTTAGTTTTGCTTCAGCTATCTGATCAAGGAATCATTGCATGAAATGAAAGACTTTTCCCAAGAACAACTGCAACCATATCTAGGTCCATTTAATGCCTCAAACATTACTGCCAGTCTGATTAAAATGTAACATAAAATAATTGTACTTTAGCCATGAAAGAAGTTTAAATTTCAGAATTACTTTACATGGATCGAATGGATTTTTTCTTTTTTGAGAACTAAACATGGATAGAATGGATTCGTTCTTATACCCAAATTAGTTTTTAAAGTTTAACTTCCCTAATAAATAGTTGCTATTTAGAACATTATATGGATATTTCCAATTAGTCTTATAATGGATTTTAGTTCTTGCATGAACACATGTATATTTTATGTTTCTACGGAAATATGAGTGCTAAAAAAGTTTTAAGCTCAGATTTCATTTAAGAAATCCTAACACTGCTTTTGAGCATAGAGGTGACACCTGTAAAAGCCTCATCATCCAGAAGGATGTGGGAACCCTTGCCCATTTGGATATTCCCTAATCCTTATTCTTTTACCTATAAAATAGGAAATCTCTTCCCTATTCTTATTACCTTTTTAATTATACTAGTATTTATGTACGTGCATTGCACGTGACAAATTTTGTGATAATGATAGTATATAATATATTTCGAAAATTTTTTACAAATTTTTTATACTGTTACATCTATAAAAATTACTCTTATTTATCACATTTATTATGGTTCATTGATATAAAGATATGTCCAAATAAAATTCTTGCAAAGGTAACGAGAATCAATAAAATTCTTATTATTCTTATTTATCATTAATAAAATTCTTATTATTCTTATTTATTATGGTTCACTAATAAAATTAATAATGTTTATCAGTTACCTTCGTCAGAATTTTATTTGAATTCTCGTTACCTTTGCAAGAATTAACTTCAATATGATAAATCCAACTTCAGCTCCTTCAACTGTTGAAAACCTTACAATGAAATGCTATAAAAAATATCACTTACTCTTGCAAATATCTTGTCATCCAATTATGTGGGCTTTAAGGAAACGGAAATGAAAAATTAAACCACCATATGGGGGGAATAAAGAAGGGAAAACCATCTGCTACCTTAATAATCAAGAATTGACCCATGAAAATAGGTTAAAAATATTTAAAAAAAAATAAGAAAATAGTTTAAAGAATAAATTGCTCATCCATTTGCAAGATGGAAATCTCTTCATGGTGGTTAATGTGGCCCAACATTGGCTATTGAGAACAAAAGATGTACTTTCAGTTCTTTTAATTTAAATAAATGAAAGGGTAAATTGCAACTTTAAACTCTCTTTTTTTGTTTTTCATAACATTTATGTTGTTTTTTATGTATAAACCAGCCTCAATAATAATTACATGGGTATTTTGGACATTTTTATGCCTCTTGTTAGAGGATTTTACAAAAGGGGTCTACTTGCAACTGTGTCAAGAAGTTTAGGGGAGGTGATTGCAATCACCAAACTTCAGAGGAGGTTTGGGCAACAGTCAAACTTCAAGGGAGGTTTCAGCAATTACCATGGTTTGTTTTCCAATTATTGAACAAAAAGAGGGATTTTTGTGTATTTTCCCTAACAARCATTAAATGGGAATGTTAAATAACACTTTTGTCGCTGACTTGTTTTACAATTATGAACAAAAAAGAATGGAGTTTTGTGTCTTTTTTGTAATAAGCATTAGATGAGAAAGAAGAGTCATTTCTTGATAAGCATTAAATGAGAAAACAAAATTACATATTTACCATTGCTCCTTCTTGACAGTGTGGCCGGCCAGTGATAAGAGAAAGAGAAGAGAAGAGAAAAGAAGAAGAAGAGAAGAGAAGAGAAGAGAGGAGAGAAGAAAGAAGGTTTTGCAATGTAACAGTATTGGTGGCACCAGTCTTTATTTTACTATATATAGGGCGACAGAAATA